GACGATAGCTTTGAAACCCGGCGAGGGCAGAGGTTGCATGATATACTGCGCATGGAGCCACTGCCACCAGCCCTTTATAACTGTTCAAGTTACAATAGTGCGCAGTGCTGCCCCCTGCCTGGAAGGAGATGCCCGGCTAGCTTCTGGGAAGATGCTGGCGGTGGTGTGGTGCTGGGGGGACTGGCTGCACGGGCTCTACCAAGCCACTCCAAGGCAGGATTAGGGCCACTTTGGGGATTCGCAAGAGTCTCGAGGGGACCTGGAAAAGGAGGGCAGCAGGGTGAATGCTTATGCTGTGGAACCCCTGAGCAGTCACCCATCGCAGGCCCCAGTGCGCGATTGGTCTTTCCCTGGTGCCCAGCCTCCCAAAGTGCTGGGATTATAGGTGTGAGCCTCTGTGCCCAGCCAGTGCCTCCTTTTTCTTCCCGCTGGAGCAACTAGGTGTCAGCAACCCCTAGACACCCTCACGGCCCGGATCCTGCCGTGCTCTCGCGGTGAGACAGAGCGAACTGTTCGGGCTTTGCATTTAGGTCAGCCTCTCAGCTCCGCCCTGGTTAGGGCAAGCAGCCCTGGATGATGTGTGAGTGAGTGGGTGGTGCCGGGAGACTTCATTCACAAAGCCAGGCCTGTTGGGATTTGGCCCATATCGTAGCTGCTGTGTTAGATCATTGGCTGTGTTGTTACACATGGTTCATTCTATCTGGGGGGAGACCTGCCCTCAAACCCACACAGAGCAGGGCAGACAGTACGAGATTTGGAGCCAGAAGACCCAAAGGTAACCATGTTTCTGCCCTTCCTGACCTTGTCCTTGCCTCCCCCAGTGGGCTGCTCAGAGAACTGAGAGGGCTGGGTGGGCATGAGGATTCTCTGAGAGATACAAAGGCCACCAGGGGGATGGGCATGGTGGCTCATGCCTGGAATCCCAGCACTTTGGGAGGCTGAGACGGGCAGATCACTTGAGGCCAGGAGTTCAAGACCAGCCTAGGTAACATGGTGAAAACCCATATCTCCAAAATATACAAAAATTAGCTGGGCGTGGTGCCATACACCTATAATCCCAGCTTTTTGGGAGGCTGAGGCATGAGAATCACTTGAATCCGGGAGGCAAAGGCTGCAGTGAGCTGAGATCGTACCACTGCACTCCAGCCTGGATGACAGAGCAAGACCTTGTCTCAAAAAAAGACAGGGGTGGGGGGAGGTGGCGGGGAGCACAGGAATGACAGGAGGCATCATTATCTCACCCCCAGGACATGTATATATGTATGTAATTTTTAAACTTATTTTTGAGATGGGGTCTCACTACATTGCTGTAGCTGGTCTTGAACTCCTGGACTCAAGCATTCCTCCCAGGTAGCTGGGATTATAGGCATGTGCCACCATGCCTGGCATCCCAAGGCTTTTAAATCTCAGTCCATGATTTTGAAACTGGGATGCTGTTGCTGAGAGAGAAACTGAGGCAGGGAGGCGGTAGCTCACAAGTCACCCCTCACGATAGACCTCCTGACCCTGGTGGCTGTCAGTCTGGGGCAGAAGTCACCCCATGGGGGATGTCTTAGGCGGGACCCCTTCCTGTTCTTGGCTGGGGACAGTGTGCTGGGTGGCACCCACTACCAGACCCCTGCTCCCCTAGCCGCCTCCTTTTTTTTTTTTTTTTTTTTGAGACAGAGTCTCACACTGTCGCCCAGGCTGGAGTGCAGTGGCCGGATCTCAGCTCACTGCAAGCTCCGCCTCCCGGGTTTGCGCCATTCTCCTGCCTCAGCCTCCCGAGTAGCTGGGACTACAGGCCCCCGCCACTTCGCCCGGCTATTTTTTGTATTTTTTAGTAGAGACGGGTTTTTTTTTGAGATGGAGTCTTGCTCTGTTGCTCGGGCTGGAGTGTGGTGGCTCGATCTCAGCTCACTGCAACCTCGGACTCCTGAGTTAAAGTGATTCTCCTGCCTCAGTCCTCCCGAGTAGCTGGGATTACAGACACCTGCCACCATGCCTGGCTAATTTTTGTATTTTTAGTAGAGACAGAGTTTTGCCATGTTGGTCAGGCTGGTTTGGAACTCCTGGCCTCAGGTGATCCGCCCTCCTCCGCCTCCCAAAGTGTTGGGATGACAGGTGTGAGCCACTGTGGCTGGCCCTCCTGGAGAGTTTCTGACCGGCATGAGCTGTGACCACAAGGGGGTGCCCCACATGCTCAGCTGGAGCTCAGGCCGGACTGCCTCCACTGTGCCCCCTGCCACGGTTGAAATCCTCCTCCTATTCTCTGTGTGCATGACGGGTGTGTGAGCGGTGAGTCAGGAGTGGGCTGGAAACCTGAGAGCTGGGGCTGTGGGGTGGGGGCTGGTCTGCCTCTCCCATGCCACAGGGACAGGGACCTCCCAGGAGGCACTGATTCTCTGATGCTGCCCTGTGTGTACCGGCCCCGGGCAGTGGTGGTCACCAGAACTGCCATCTGTGGTTTGGGGCTGACCTGGACCCTGCTTCATCCAGTGCCATTTAACCCTCCCCGGCCACCCTGGGTTTTGCATGCGAGGAAACTGAGGCCCAGAGAGGGCATGGCCTGTCAAATCTGGGCTCAGCAGGCCCTGCCTGCCCCAAGAAAGCACCACGCACAGGGGCTTTCGACAGCAGAAACTCGGCCCCCATCCTGGAGGCCAGAAGTCCTAAATCAAGGTGTCCGCAGAGCCACGCTACCCCTGGAGGCCCCAGGAGGAGCCTCCCCACCTCTCCGGTGGTAGCCAGCCCCCCTTGGTGCCCTTGGCTTGTGGGTGCCTCTCCCCTGCCTCTGCTGCCACGTGGAGCCCCCTGCGTGTTTGCACTTCTCTCAGCTTACCACAACCGGGACACACGGGATGGAGGCCCTCGCTCCAGAACCACCTCATCTTCACTTATTATATGTGCAGAGACACTGCGTCCAAAGAAGGCCCTTCACAGATTCCAGGTCCGGACTTTAACAAGCTTTTGGGGAAAACACAGATTCAACCCACAACCCCAACCAGAGATCTCAGCCCTCGCCAGGCGACCTGGAAAGGGCTCCCTCTCCTCTTCCTCAGACAAGCTGCCGGGCTTCCTGCCCCCACCCCCGGTCAGGCCATCACAGCCTGCCCAGAAGCGACTTCCCGCTGAGTGGTGGGAGCTGCCTACAGCTCCCGAGTGCAGCCGTTCCTACAGGGCCTGCGCAGGAAGCCCGTGCCTTCCCTGGGGTCCGGCTCACGGGCTCTGAGGCAGCAGGGAAGGGCAGGAGACTTGCCCCCCTCCTGGGCTGTCACGCAGGCGGGGACGAGGCGGGAACAGGTGCCCACCCAGCCCAGGCAGGGGCGCGACAGTGTGGCCATGGCCGTGTGGTCATGGGGTTCCCCGGGCTGCAGCCCGCCCTTTCCTCCCCTGACCTGGATGCCCTCTGCCCCTCACAGGTCTCCACCGGGAACCTTCTGGTCATCCTGAGTCGACATTACCAGGGCGTCTCCTGCCTGCAGTTCACAGGGGACAGCAGCCACTTCATCTCAGGGGGCAAGGACTGCCTGGTACTGGCTTGGAGCCTCTGCAGGTAGTGCCTTGTGCACCCGGGCCTGCACCTGGGCCCAGGCGGGGAGAGGAGGGGCCAAGGCCCCTGGTGGGAAGGGGCTTCTCTTGGGGGCTGGAGTGCAGAGGACAGAGTGATCATGCCAGGGGTCCTGGCTGCCCACGTTGGGGTCTGGTTTGTCCTGCGGGCCGTGGGGACCCAGCCTTGAGTTTACTCAGGTGAGGCGGGCCAGGCTGCTGAGTGGAGGCAGGTGTGTGCGTGAGGTGGGTGCTGGAGGCGTGGACTGCCCTGTTCCCTCCCGTCCCCGCCTGCTGAGTACCCACCTCACCCCGCCCAGCGTGCTGCAGGCCGACCCCTCCAGGATCCCGGCGCCCCGGCACGTCTGGTCTCACCACACGCTCCCCATCACGGACCTGCACTGCGGCTTTGGGGGCCCCCTGGCCCGGGTGGCCACCTCCTCACTGGACCAGACGGTGAAGGTACAGCCGCCCCCACCCCCCCACCGCGGTTCATGAGCAAAGCCCGGCAGCCCCAAGTCCTCAGCCAGGAATGCAGGAATCGCCGCCTCCCCCTCCCTGCTGTCAGGACTTCAGACAGCTTTTAATCCGCTGGTACTGAGCCCTAGGACGTCCAGGGAGGTCTGCCAGCCTGGAAATTCCCACTCACTCACCATTTCTGGCCCGGCTCCCTGGCCAAGCCTGGGGAATTGAAGGGCATCACTACGTTTGAGTCGTGGCCAGTGGTCCTGGGAGGGAGACCCAGGGGTCATCAGCCCGAGACCAGGCTCCGTTTCAGCAAGACCCACATGGTGACGGCTTTCACCCAAAGTCCCAAGCCCTAGGGCCAGAGGACAGCCGACGCCTGACCTCCCTGATGCCCCTGTTCCCACGGGGTCCTCGAGTTCCCCCGCGCCAGGCCGAGCCCCACGCCCTTTGCCCGCCCGCAGCTGTGGGAGGTCTCCTCGGGGGAGCTGCTCCTCTCCGTCCTCTTTGATGTGTCCATCATGGCGGTGACTATGGACCTGGCTGAGCACCACATGTTCTGCGGCGGCAGCGAGGGCTCCATCTTCCAGGTCGATCTCTTCACCTGGGTGAGTGCGGCGGCGGTCTGTGGGCTGCACCCTGCCCTGGGACTGAGGGCATCGGGCCTGTGGCTCACAGCCGTCTCTGCCTTCGCAGCCCGGACAGAGGGAGAGGAACTTCCAGCCAGAGCAGGACGCCGGGAAGGTCTTCAAAGGGCACAGGTGGGGACGTGGGAACGGGGCGGGGGGCTCCCGAGCACGTCCTGTCTGGCGCCTGACCCCTGCCTGTCTGTCTAGGAACCAGGTGACCTGCCTGTCGGTGTCTACTGACGGCAGCGTGCTGCTCTCGGGCTCCCACGACGAGACCGTGCGCCTCTGGGATGTGCAAAGCAAGCAGTGCATCCGGACGTTGGCCCTCAAAGGTGAGCGCGCCTCTGCTCAGCCCGCGGCCAGCGAGCAGGGGGCGGGGAGGAGATCCAAGGGGAAAAGGGGCTTGGCTTGACTGTGGGCGGGACTGGCTTGCTGTGGGGTGGGGACTGGCTGGGGGCCTCGCAGGAATGGGGCGGGGACTAATTGGGGGCGGAGACTGCCCTGGATGGGGCGGAACCTGTCAGGTATGGGGCGGGGTCTGGCTGGGGGCGGAGACTGCCCTGGATGGGGCGGAACCTGGCTTGCTATGGGGCGGGGCCTGGCAGGGATGGGGCGGGGAATGGCGGCTGGGATGGGGGGGCGGGGAATGGCGTGGATGGGGAGGGGAATGGCGTGGATGAGGCGGAACACCTGGCTTGCTGTGGGGCGGAACCTGGCTTGCTGTGGGGCGGGGCCTGGCTGGGATGGGGGGGGAATGGCTGGGGGCGGAGACTGCCGTGGATGGGGCGGAACCTGGCTTGCTGTGGGGCGGGGCCTGACCACCGCACCCCCCAGGCCCAGTCACCAACGCCACCATCCTACTGGCGCCCGTCAGCATGCTGAGCTCAGACTTCAGGCCCAGCCTGCCGCTGCCCCACTTCAACAAGCACCTGCTGGGCGCCGAGCACGGGGACGAGCCGCGCCACGGGGGCCTCACCCTGCGCCTGGGCCTCCACCAGCAGGTACAGCCCCCAGCAGGGAACCCCCACTGCCCTTTGGTCTCGGAAGACCCCGCAGGCCCTGGGCTCCGCTCCCTCAGTCCTGGCACCCGTGCGGCGGTTCCCCCCAATCCCAGCACTGGAGGGCACATCCTGTGAGCGGGATGGTGATGCTCGGAGGGCCCTCTGCCCACTCTGGGTGTGGACCCAGAGGCTCTGATAAGTTAACCACCCCTCGTCCCCCGGCCAGCAGGGCCGAACTGTGCGCCCCACACGCCAGCCTTCGCGCCGCTGGAGATCTGATGGTCAGCTAGGTCTTTCTGCAAAGGGCTAATGCCCCATATTTTGGGCTGCGAGGGGCAAAAGTTTCACATCTGGGCTGCGGAAGGTGCGGGAGCAGCCGTGCAGGGCAGGGAGCGGGTGGGGCCCTGATGGCTGCATGTGGCTCCCACGTGGGTTCGGGGCGGCCTCTGCCTGACCACAGTCACATCCTCACCCCTGCAGCTCAGCACCGCCCCCTGCTCTGTGCAGGTGCTAGGGTAGGCTCCTTCCCACACCGGCCCCAAGAACCTCACAGAAGCCAGTATGGTTGGCTGGGGTGGGGGCTGGGGGGGTCCTTGAGCCTGGGGAGGCTTCCCAGCGTGTTTCCGCCCCACTCCCCGACCTTCAGGGAGCTGCCTGCGTCCTTGGTGTCTCACGTCACTGTCTGTGTCCCTCGCTGGGCTCTGGCGCTTGGCACTTGTCCCCACGCGCCCTCTTCTCACCTGAGTACAGATTGATTTTTTTATCTGGAGAGTGCCCGCCAGCCCGACAGCCTGACAGACCCTGCACCAGGAGATGCCGTTATCTCCCTTGTCCACGCTGACTGATGGAGTGACGCTCTGTCTTCCCACATCTACCAGTGGGCTCGGGGCGGGCAGGCAAGGGACCCCCACCGTCTGGGCATCCGCAGGCCCCTCAGACCGAAGGAGGCCAGGAGCACAGGCTGGACTGGCTGCTAACAGCATGGGCAAAAGGGGGGCGCGCCTTTGTGTTCAGAAAGTGCTGGAACCTTTGGAGTGAAAACAGGCCTCCAGTGGCACGGAGCCAGCTCCCCGCTAGGGTGCCTGCCCGGACACTGCCTCTTCCCAGGGCAGCGGCGGCTCCCACGATTCCTACCCAGCCAAGTGCCCTCCCCAGAACCCCACCCAGCTGGCCACAGTGAGATTCCAGAAGGGGCCAGGCCACACCCTCCAGTAATGCCACCACCTTTTCCTGGGCGCCCCACCTGGCTCCCTTCCTCCTGCGATGGCTGCCAGCTTGTTGCAATCCAGCTGACACTGACTGGAATGTCGGCCTGTCCCACAGGCGCTGCTGGGGCCCAACACAGGGCGTCCAGGAGGCGGGTTCCCGACCTCCAACCCCCCCAGCGACTGGTCCCTCTGCCCAGGGCAGTGGCCTCACTGGACTGGCTGGGTTCTCCCCATGGCTGGAGGTGGTCACTGTCTGTGAGGCCCTCGTCCGGCCCTGTGTCCCAGAACCTTCCCTGGGATCACGGGTCCTTCCAGGCCTGACCCAGGCCCCCTGTCTGTGGTGTGGTCATCTGCACCCATATCCCCAGCCCCATCCTTGGGCGCAGTCGTGGAGGATCTGAGGCGCTGGGTGATGGCTGCATAGCCAGGGTCAGGGTGGTCATCTGCAGACTCGAGGGAGATGAATGCCTCTGCCTCAGTCTCCCCTTCTGTCTGTGGGCGTCACAGTGGCCCCTCCCTGACTGAGTGGCTGCCCACGATATCGGGGGTGGGATGGGCAAAGCGTGTGGTGTGTGACAGGACACAGCCCGAGGTCATGCGGCCCACCGTGTTGCAGGGTTCTGAGCCCAGCTACCTGGACCGCACGGAGCAGCTGCAGGCCGTCCTGTGCAGCACCATGGAGAAGGTGGGCAGGGCCTCGGGTTGGGCGGGGCCTCGGGAGGGGCGGCCTCAGGCTGGGCGGGGCCTGAGACTGGGGTCAGTCCTGGCCAGTGGCCCGCACTCCAGCGCACCCCAGGCCACTTCCGCCCTCTGACCCCCACTCCTACCGCAGAGCGTGCTTGGTGGCCAGGACCAGCTGCGGAGTCCGCGTCAGGAGCTGGAGGACGAGGTGGCCAACCTGCGCAAGATCAACCGGACCTGTTCGACTTCTCCACGCGCTTCATCACGCGCCGGCCAAGTGAGGCCCGGAGACCCGGCCGAGGCCCAGGCCTGAGCCCCAGCCTCCCAGCGACCGGAGCCCGCGGGTTTGGCCCCACCACCCAGGCCTGGATCTCTCCCCAGTTCTGCGTCGTGTTTGGGCTTTTCCTCTGTGACTGGGCGGTCTTGGTGTCTCGTGGCATGCGTCACATTGGTGCTAGCCTGTTTTTAACAAAAGAGGATGAAAGGCTTCTCTCCTGCCTCCTTGTGTCCGGGTGTGGCCTGCTGCTGGGCGCATCGCAGCTCCACTCTGCTGCTCGGCCCAGCTCAGAACCCCAGCCCCACTGGGCACCCTCCATCCGGAGGTAGAGACCCCAACCACGCTAGGCCTCACAGGAACGGCTTTAGGACGCAGCCCCCAGCAGCTGCAGTTCTGACTCTGCTCTATTGCCCGAGGGCCTTTGCATGGCTGTGCCTTCCCGAGAAGGCGCTGGGCCAGGGTGGTGGGGTTGAAGGAACCAGGAAGCCAGGCCCCTCTGGTCTGCTGTGCAGGGGGTCTGAGTAGAGACAGCCCTGTGGGGTCCCGAAGGGAGGTGGCTTGGTGTAGAGAGACGGGCCGGGGGACATTTGGGGGTAGATCCAGCTGCCAGGGTTGAGGGGTTTCGCCGGGTGCAGGGCCCAGCTCTCAGGGAGGGTTTTGGGGGTGGCTGGTCCCTGTGGGAACCCAGGGCTCCAGACCAGGCAGGAGGAGGGAGCCGGTGTGGGCGGGGCCTTGGAGTACAGGCTCCTCCCAGTGCCTCCCTCAGGTGCCTTGGGGCCCCTGCTGGCTTCCCCAGGGCCCAGCCAAAGCCGCCCAAACCCCACCCCAGGGCGGTTCTCTGGGCAAAAGGTGCCCTGGCCTCCCCAGGCAGAGGCGGCTTGTCCCACCCAGCAAAGGTGGCCACTGCAGCCTGGGACCACCAGATGGGTCAGGGGCAGGTCTGGGCGTGGTGTCCCGATCTGAGCCAGTCCCCAGAGGAGGTTGCCCCTGGCCACACCACGGGCGGTGCTTGTGGATATCAAGGGCTTGAGGGAGGCCGGGCCCCACCGCCCTGGGGATGCTGCCAGCCAGTGCCTGGAGCCCAGCCCAGAAGCCCAGAACCTTCCAGAAAGCTGCCCCTGACTGACAGTCCTGCCTAACGATCCAGAAAATCCGTGTGATTTAACGGGCGTGGTAATGACTGCAGCTTGGAGCCAGCTGCCAGCGCTGAGTTCATGCTTTTTGGCTAATTTGTGTTCTTGGCCCCTCCACGGGGCTCTGAGCCCTCTCGGCTGGCGGCCTGGTCACACTGCGTCAGGGCAGCTGGGCCCTCTCCTGGTACTGACATCCACCTTGGCTGCTCACAGCCCCGAGAGCCTCTCGAGGGTCCCTGCCCCCGGGGCGCACACCCTGCTTGTGCCTGTCCCGTCATGAACCGCTCACCCTGCTGGCCTGCAAGGCTGGGTCCTGCCTGTGGGGAGCACGAAGGTTTGGGGTGAGGCAGCTGAGGGTCCCTTGGGGTTGGCTGATCTCTCTGGGTCTGTACTGCTCCCCTGGGGCCATTCCCACAGCCCCGCCCCCCCCTCACAACCACCTCCCAAAGCTCCCCCACCAGCACCAATCAGGACCCCCAGCCACCAACTCGGGGTATCCGCACAATCCTGTGGCTGGTGCCAGGGCTGGGGTGAGGGTGTGCACAGCTGTAGAGGGATGGTTGCCCGCGGCCCCCAGGGGCTGGACTTGGCCACAGCCGCTCCAAGAGCCCAAGGCGAGCCAGGTACGAACATACAGGCCACTGCGCAGCTGCCTGCACCACACGGCCGTCCGCGGCTGGGGCTGAGGTCGGCTGCCCTCTCCGCAGGCTGCAGAACAGGGTTAGAGTTCACCGAGGGGCGGGGCCCGGCCACCCCACCCCCATCGGAACCTAAAATCACCTGGTAGCCTCAGATGGGCGACACCTGGCTCGGTCGGACTCGACTCGATGTTCTTGTGTCCAGAAAGGGGGCATCCCCCAGCGGGCCTGCCGGGAGCCTCCGGGAGCTGGGCGGGAGCTCACGCCTCAGTCCCTGCGTTTCCCTCCATGTTCCCCCTGCATGCCGGGTCCTTGGACACAGGCCCCCTTGGTGCCTCCCCACACCCCCTCCTGCACCCTCATCACTCTCGGTCCAGAGTGTCCAGACGTGCTCAGGCACCGAGGTTCCACCCTGCGTTATAGTTGACAGGCTGGGTACAGTGGAAACAGTGGAGACGCCATTTGTTCAGTCCCCCCTGGAGACCCCACAGATTCTCAGAGGTACGGGTGCGGGGACTGGGGAGGCCAAGCTTTGACAAGAGGGGATGCCGGTGTGCACAGGTGACCTGGCAGCTGGCGGGGCTTGACTCTGCAGATCACAGCGAGGTGCACCTGCGCACCGCCGGGACAGCTGCCAGCAAAGCTGAGAGCAGAAAGCCTCGTGGGCAAGGAGGTGGAGAAGCCACAGCCCTCCCGTGCCCTGGTGCGGACGTGAAATGGAGCATCCACTGTGAAAAGAGTGTGAAAAGACCACGCCCGGCCTCTGTCAGGTTCTTAAAAAATTAAACAGCATTGTCTGGGCGCAGTGGCTCACACCTGTAATCCCAGCACTTTGGGAGGCCAAGGTGGATCATGAGGTTAGGAGATCGAGACCATCCTGGCTAACATGGTGAAACTCTGTCTCTACTAAAAATACAAAAAAAAAAAAAAAAGCCGGGCGTGGTGGCGGCGCCTGTAGTCCCAGCTACTCAGGAGGCTGAGGCAGAAGAATGGCGTGAACCCAGGAGTCATAGCTTGCAGTGAGCTGAGATCGTGCCCCTGCACTCCAGCTTGGGCGACAGAGCGAGACTCCGTCTCAAAAAACAACATTAAGGTTGGACCCAGCGAGTCCACTTCTGGGCATATACCCAAGAGAATGAGAGCGGGGTTTTGAAGTGATCCACACACACAACTCACAACAGCTCCATCCCCACAGCCAAACAGTGGGGTAAGGCCAAGCGCCATGGCTCATCCCTGTCATCCCAGCATTGCGGGAGGCCGAGGCTGGCGGATCACCTGAGGTCAGGAGACCAGCCTGGCCAACATGGTGAAACCTCCTCTCTACTAAAAATACAAGACTTAGCCAGGTGTTGTGGCACGCACCTATAATCCCAGCTACTCAGGAGGCTAAGGCAGAATTGCTTGAACCTGGGAGGTGGAGGTTGCAGTGAGCTGAGATCGGCCCACTGCACTCCAGCCCAGATAACAGAGCAAGACTTCGTCTCAAAAAAAAATGGGGGGAGGGAACCAAGTGTCCACCAGCGGTTGGAGGGTCAGCACAACGTGGTCCTCTGCACAGTGGAATATTATTCAGCCTTGAAAAGGAATGAGAAAGCCCAGTGCAGTGGCTCACCCAGTAATCCAGCACTGTGGGAGGCTGAGGCAGGATAATCACTTGAGCACAGGAGTTCGAGACCAGCCTGGGTAACATCTCTACAAAACCCCATCTCTACAAAAAATGTAAATCTTAGCCAGGTGTGGTGTGCGCCTGTGGTCCCGGGTACTTGGGAAGTCAAGGCAGGAGGATCACTTGAGCCCATGTGGTTCAGGCTGCAGTGAGCTGCACTCAGCCTCACTCCAGCCTGGGCAACAGAGCCAGATGCAGTCTCAAAAAAATAAAAATAAAAGGCTCGGACACAGGCCAGAGTATGGGTGCACCTTGAGGATGTCACGCTCAGTGAGAGACGCCAGACACAGAAGGACACAACCTGTCTGATTCCACTCCTAGGAGGTCCGTAGAGTCTTCAGATTCACAGAGACAGAAAGAAGGATGGGAGGCGGCAGGGCTGGGGAGGGGATGGGGAGTCAGTGTTCCTTGGGGACAGTTTCTGTTTGGGAAGATGAGAAAGTTCTGGAGAGGAGGGCGGTGAGGGCTACATAGTAATGAGTGTGCTGAATGTGGCTGAACTGTGTACCTAGAAATGGTTAAGATGGCAAATTTCATGTTATGACTTTTACCACAATAAAAGATTTTTCAAAAGTATCCTCCACGTGTCCACTTGTTCACATGGCAGCTGGGAGTAGGAATGCCCATGTTGCCATATACAGATGGGGAAACCGAGGCAGGGCACAACGGGAGTTCCAGGAGGGCAGACAGTCTCTGCCCCTAGGAACTCTTGCTCCTCAGAAGGAGCTGAACCCAGGGAGGGACGGGGCCCCAGTCGTCCCTGAGGACACCAGGACCTAGCACCTCTCGCAGACCCAGGGAGAGGACCCGTTGTCCTGCTCCTGGGGACACCTGGCCAGGGGGCTGGAGAGGGTGGCCTGCGGGTTCCTGGAACTGAGCCGTCCCTCCCTCTCTCCCCAGTCGTCTCAAAATCCAATCCATTTTACCGGCTGGCACTTGGCATTTTATTCATTTCATGGAGGATTTTTTTCCTCCCTCTGCAACGTTGGCTCCAAAAGGAGATGAGGTTTGGGGGGTGTGTGTGTGTGAAGAAAATCACCGGAGTGTAGATCCATTCATTAGAGCTGAATGTTCTCAGCACAGCGGCTGCTCTGCTGCCCTGCGGGATCTGGGAAGACACCGCTGGGAGGATGGGACGAGGAATGCCCGGGCAGGGAGGAAGGGAGGAGGTCCTCTGCTAAATGGATAGACAGATGCAGTCGGCCCCCATCTATCAGGGGCCTGTGGGATGCCAGGGCCCCAGAAGGATCCCCCGAGGCCCAGAGGACATAGGCTTGGGGACTGGGTAGACAGCGGGGAGCTATGGAAGCTTCTAGAGCACTGGAGGAGGGGAATGTGAACAAGCATCCTTGTCTGGGTGGTTGCTCAAACCATAAGCAATTATAGAGTGCCTAGTGTGTGCCAGTGTGAGACAGAGCAGCAGCCAAGCCAGACCCACCCTGACCCTCCCAGAGCTGAGTGGAAGAGATGGTCACTAAATAAGAAGAAAATAAACAAAAACTTGGTAGGCTGTTACAGAAATGTGTGGGGGTTGGGGGTGGGTAGCAGCAGGACTTAAATGGGGCAGGGAGTGGTGCTTCCTGCATTTTCTCAGTGGCAAGTAGGGAACGTTTTTCAGGGCAGGACATTTGGAACTGGGTTTTGAAGGGTGAAGAGGAGTTCTGTGGCCCAAGTTGCCTGCTCACTGCTGGAGGGCAGATCTACTCTATAGGTTCCCATCATCTATGCCTGCCTCAGTTTCCCCAGGGTGCACTGGATGTTAGAACACACCCCTGGCTGGCCTGGTTAGAAACTGACCACTTCCTGGATGTGGGAGACAAGCATGACCCTTCCTGGGCCTCAACTTCCCTGCCTGAGCAATGGTCGACATTGGTGGAAGAGGTCAGGGATCCTGAAGAGGAACGGGGTGGGCGTCCGGGCCAATTTTATTTTGTTATTTTATTTTTTTTGAGACGGAGTCTCGCTCTGTCGCCCAGGCTGGAGTGTAGTGGTGCGATCTCAGCTCACTGCAAGCTCCACCTCCCGGGTTCAGGCAATTCTCTTGCCTCAGCCTCCCGAGTAGCTGGGACTACAGGTGCGGGACGCCACGCCCGGATGATTTTTGTATTTTTAGTAGAGACGGGGTTTCACCATGTTGGCCAGGCTGGTCTCGAACTCCTGACCTCGTGATCCGCCCGCCTCGGCCTCCCAAAGTGCTGGGATGACAGGTGTGAGCCACCGCGCCCGGCAAGTCCGGGCCAATTTTAAAGCGCAGAGTCCTTTCCTGGCACCTCCATTCCATCTGAGGCCTGAATCAGAGCAGGGATGGGCAGTGGTTAGGCGTCCCCAGCCCCCGCCAAGTGTCACCGCCGAGGCCCGCAAGCAACCATTGGGAGGCTCTATTCCCCCCCGCCCCCACTCCGGGCAAGGCGCGTCCCACTACCCTCCCCCGCGGTTGCTGGGAACCCCGAGGCGGCCCGGGCGGGGTGCGGAAGGAGCGTCGGAACCTGGCCGGGTCTCTCCTCCCGCGCCGTGGTCCGGGCGGCTGAGCTCCGCCGACAACTTTGCGATGGAGTTTGTGCGGGCGCTGTGTCTGGGCCTGGCGCTGGCGCTGGGGCCGGGGTCCGCGGGGGGCCACCCGCAGCCGTGCGGCGTCCTGGCGCGCCTGGGGGGCTCCGTGCGCCTGGGCGCCCTCCTGCCCCGCGCGCCTCTCGCCCGCGCCCGCGCCCGCGCCGCCCTAGCCCGGGCAGCCCTGGCGCCGCGGCTGCCGCACAACCTGAGCTTGGAGCTGGTGGTCGCTGCGACCCCCGCCCGCGACCCTGCCTCTCTGGCCCGCGGCCTGTGCCAGGCTCTGGCGCCTCCCGGCGTGGCGGCCCTGCTCGCCTTTCCCGAGGCTCGGCCCGAGCTGCTGCAGCTGCACTTCCTGGCGGCCGCCACCGAGACCCCCGTGCTCAGCCTGCTGCGGCGGGAAGCGCGTGCGCCCCTCGGAGCCCCGGTACGCGGGACGCGCGGAGTCAGGACGTGGGGGACCCGAGGGGGGCGGGAGGAAGCCCTGGGCACACCCGGAGTCAGGATAGGGGTGCCGGGACTACGTAGGCAGGGAAGGGGGATCCCGGGACGCTAGACGGGCCCCAGGGCTCAGGGATGGGGAAAACCCGGGTGTCCTCGGAGCAAAGAAACCGGAACCCAGAGGCAGAGACCAGGGGCAGGGACCTAGACGCGGGGTTGAGAGCCCCAGGGACGCCCCTGGAACGCCCCTGCAGACCCCTTCCCAGCGCCCCTGGAACGCCCCTGCAGACCCCTTTCCAGCGCCCTAGTGGAGACCCCGCCACTGTGGCCTCTGCCCCTTCCTTGCCCAGGCCCCTTCCCTCCTTGCCCACAGACCCTTCCCTGGTCCCTGGGACCTCCTGGTCCCCACCCGGCTCTGGAGGGCTGGGCTGGAGGACAGGCGGTCTCCCTCCTCACTCTAGGGGTGCAGTTTCGGGGTCTGCAGGTCTGGATCTCCCTCCTTCCATAATTCTCCCCTTCCCCCTTCAACCAGAGCGGTCCAAGATCCCAGAGCAACCCCTGCCCCTTCCAACCCCAAACTCCATTCCACCCCCACCCACCCCCACCCCACCTCCCGCCACCACCCCCACCCCACCTTCCCCCCACCCCACCGCACCCATCCACCCCAGGCAGCCTTCAAGTTCCTCTCTTCTGATCCCATCCCAGGCCCAGATCCCAGGAGCAAACGGAATTAGAAGAGAAGGGCTGTTGACTGGGTTCTGGGGACCCTGTTGTTCCCCCCAGCAGGGCTCACTGCACCCCAGATAATAAACCCCTCCCATCGCCTAGCAAGGAATTCCCAACTCCGGACATGGGGCCTGGCTGAGCTCTGTGGTCCAGCTGCCCCTCCTTCCCAACCCACGCAGGAGCCCCTGCAGCCCCTCCCTCTCCTCAGGGAGAGAGACCCTGACGCTAGAGGGGGAGTCTCTTAACCCAGCTCTGCAGGTGTCCAGGGGACCCCTGTCCCCCCACCACCCTAGGGCTGCTGGGAGATGCGGGGCTCAAACCCAGGCCTGGGGCGCCCTCTGCTGCCGCCGCCAGGAGCTGCACCGCTGCAGGCCGGGGCGTGGGACCGACCCAGCGTCTTAGGGACTGGCTTGGCCCCCTGGGGACTGAGCGGCATCCCAAG